TCAGAGTCTTCCAGCCCCTCCTCGCAGGGGGGAGTCGATCTTCATTCACACCCTGGACACTCTGGGCTGTTCCTGCGCAGGAACCAGCAGGGGGCCTCAGGAGCCCCTCATCTGAGAGTCCCAGTCAATCACCCTGAATCTCCCCCTCCCACCTCCCCACGGTAACAGAGGCACCTCTTCTCCCAGGCTCTCCTCCCCCCACTCCCCAGGCTGCGCTTTCTTTTCTGCTTTCTTTTCGGGGGTCCCCACCCCCTCAGGCTCCCACTAAGGCCTGGCCACGGGGCTGGAAGGAGCCCTGCTCAACTCCATCCAAGCGCGGGAGCTGGGTGAGAGGCGGGGAAATGAATATTAATTTATCATGATTAGGCAAATCCGGCAGGGAGAGCCGATTCCGGAGGAGGCTAAAAAGATGAATTTCAGCAATAAAATTAAATAAGGACGGACGGGCAGCCCCTCCTCCCTCCCGCTTTGCTGATCTCTCTCTTTCTTACAATTTATGAGGCCAATTATGAAGATGAGGTTGGAAGTTCCTGGAACTTCACTAAATGCAAACGGCGGTCCCTGCTGTTCCCATCAAATTAATTAACCGCGCGCTATTGATGGCCGCTCAAGGCTGACGCAGGCGGCCCGCCCTGCGGCCGCCTCCACGGACACGAGGACCCAGAGTCCAGAGCCAGCCAGGGCCCCATCACGTTCTGCAGTCCCTGCCGGGCACTACAGGGGACTCCGCGGACCGCCCTTCCAGCCCCCAGGCCCTGCCTGAGCCCTTGACAACACAGGGGCGTGCTAGGGAGGGAGGTCTACATCACTGCGCACACCCACACACACGTGGGGCTGCCCACACACATACAGATACAAAATCCCGAACTCGTAGTACACAAACATAGGCCCAGAATGCACATTAGACACTCAGGCGAATGAACATGGAGTCGAACAGCCTGGGGCTCAGCTTCTGCACTGACTCCCAGTGTGTTCCCCTGGGGCTTGTCGAGGCCCCGGTTCAGACAATGGGGATGAAGCCTGGCCCAGAGTCCAGGTCAGCTTTGGGTCTTCGGCCCTGAGGACCCCCCTGTTCCAGGGCTCAGAAGCAGGGCTGCCCAGTGGCTCATGGATTCTGGAAAACTAGCTGGCTGGTGCCTGGAATGAAGGGCAGAATGGACATGGGGCTAAAGGTCTTGGGGCTGAGCCCAAGGCTTAGAGTAGCTCCCAAGTGTCTGCAGAGTCTGGGTAGCAGCAGGTGCCCCAACAGCTATAGCTTCCATGTGAGGCTCATCTCTGAGATGGTGGGAGGGGCTGAAAGGGGCTCTCCTGTTGGAGTGAAGAAAGGGAGTGAGGCCAGTGTCTTCTCCATGTTCTGGTCCCTAGTCCTGGCAAAAGGCAGCCCATCCCATTTAAAGGGACAGGAATCCCATAACTATCTTGGAGAAGCAAAACAAAGGGCCTGGGTTCTCCATTCCCAGCCCTTGATACCTGGAGGGTAGGACATGGCTGGACTTGCCCACCTTGTCATGTCCACTTCAGGCCAGGAGGCTCTTGGCCCTGTGCCCACACCTGCACCACCCCCCCCCCCCCCCCCCCCACCATGAGCATCCAGAACCCAGGAGGAGAATTTGGCCTTATCTTGTTCCACTTTCAGTGCAAGTCTGGGACCAAGGCCAATGTCATCCCACCCAGGCCCTGGGAAAAGATAGGGCTCCCAGCGTGGTGGGGTTGGGACAGAGCAGCCCAGAGAGATCTGTATTTGGGGCACAAAATGTCAGAGGGAAACGGAAATTAAGGAAGGCCCACACTGAGCAGGTGGCAGCCAATTGGAGAGGGCTGGGGCCCAGGGCTTTGCCTGCCATCTGACCCTCCCCACCTCCAGGCATGTGAGGCTCCCACCCTTCCCCACACCCCAGCTGCGCTTGCAGGGGCCTCCTGTGCCTCACGGCAGGTCCTTCCACTCACTAGAAAGGGAGAGGCCAAGACACGCCCAGTCTACTGACTCTCTATATTGTTGCGGTAACAAATCACCACACACTCAGTGACTTTGAACAACACAGTTATCACCACACAGCACTCCTGTTAAGGAGTCTGAGGCAGGTCTCACCAGAAAAAAGTTGAGGTGTTTCCAGGTCTGTGTTCCATTATGGAGGCTCTAGAGTAGAGTAGACTCTGTCTTCTCACCTCTTCCAGTGTCCAGAGGCTGCCCACATCCCTTGACTAGTGCCCCTCTATCTTCAAAGTCGGAAACATCACATCTCTCTGACCTTCCTTCTGTTGTTACATCTCTCTGTGTAGGTTTTCTGCTAAGGACTCATAATTAGATTGGGCCCACAGGATCATCTCTTCTCAAAATCTTTAATCATATCTGCAATGCCTTTTGCCAAGTAAGATAACATACTCGCAGGTTCTAAGTTTTAGGATGTAGACATCTTTAGGGGACTGTTATTCTGCCTACTGTACATGTGATCTGGCCAGGAACAACTCTGGCTCTGAGACAGAGTGACGACAGCTGGGATAGGGGTGAGAAGCAGGCTTGTGGGCCCTTCTCCTCCTCCTTGGGACCAGATGGTGATTGGGTGGTAGTTTTGGGGTACTCAGTTGCTAGACAGGATGCCAGTTCCCACCAGGGCTCCAAAATTCAGTCTCCCTTTCCGGCAGAATGGGGCACTGGGCTGTAAGCCTACCCAGAAACCAAGTTCAGGCTCTGAAGTACCTGGGGATCCTTCTAATACACTTTTTGCTTAGCTTGGACTCGGAAAACCAGCCCCTCCTCCAAACTGAGCAGCCTTTCTCCAGATAGAAACACTTCCCTCAGCTTTTCTCCCAGGCTCCTGTGTCAGACTGAGTGGCCAAGAGGATACCACCTCCAGAATGGGTCTCTCAGGAGGGTGTGGGTGCTCTTCTTTCTTTCCCAATTTCCTGTTGTCCTTGCCAGGAGGTGGGCCAAGGAGTTGACTTGGTTTGAAGGTAATCTTTGGAATTCTGAATCTCTTGGGAGGAGGTTGAGGGGCCAGGTCCCTGTTTTCAGACACAGAAGGCAGCACTATCCTTCTCTGTAGTTCTGGGGATTTTCTGTGTATGGGAAGTGGTTAATTGGCCAAGTCACCCAGTGACCCACTGGTTCCCTCTTGCAGCCCTGGAGGCCCTATTACTGTGGGCCCGGACAGGATGCCAGGGCATTTATGTGGGAAGCAAAAGGAGAGAAGCAACTTCCACATTTGGACCTGGACACTCCAGGCTTTGGGTTTCTGCCAGCTCTGACCCTTGCTGGGAATGATGGCAGACATTGGGGGCCTAGTTCAGAGTAGACCTGGCAGAGCTTGCAAGCAGGGTCCAGAAGCAGCCTAAGGGGCCAGGAATTTGCCTGGCGTATTCATTCCGGGCCCCAGTCAGCCACACCTCCCTGGGAATAGAAGCTCCAAGGGACTCACCCCTCACGGAGGCTTCTAGGCCTTTGACGTGGCTGTCTCTGGTTGGTACTAAGCTGTGAAAAGGGTTCCCAGACTCCATGAGCTTTAGATTCCTTCCCCAGCATGCCCCGTGCAGGTGGGGCCCCAGGGCTTGGGCTTGAGTTCTGAACTAGAGTCGGGATCCCTATGCCAGGATGCTGGCATCCCCTGACCGAAATCAGGCCAACAAAGGCCAGCTCTGAGACTCTGCAAGTTACTGACAGAGACACAGGACGTAGTACCTGCCCCCCCAGCCCTGCCTCCCAGCCAGCACACTCAGGCTTGCGCCCATCTCTTCAGCTTCCAAACCCCCCATGCCAGGAGGCCTCTCCAGGCCCCTTGCTGCTCCTCCCAACACAGCCACCTCCTCCAGCCCTGTGCACATTATTCTTCATAGTTGGTGTGTCCAAACCTTCTTCCCCACCCCACCACTCCCCTCACCAAACTCTCCATCCTTCGAGGTCCAACCTCCAAGTGCCATCCTGGTCCCACCAGCTGGACTTGCTCCTATCCCCTCTATCAAACTGAGCCCCTTAGCCCGACTCCCAGTCCTCCACCAGCCTTGGCATACAGCATCGTCTCTAGAGTAGGCTCTTTAGTTTTCCCCAAACAGGCAGGCTATTTCCCTGCCAGCCTTCCCCTCCCCTCCACGCAACCTCGTCTGACTGCCTCAGCACTGCTGGTAGCACAAGTCACCAGTTCCTAGTAAGTCTTGTCACCTTTGTTTATGTCCTGATAGCCTGTTCTAGGGCAGGGCCCACAAGAGATGCTAATGCGGAGACAGGCACTCCTAATGCCTGACTCCATGAATTCTCCCTTTTACCCGTCCATCTCTGCCCCCCTTCTGAGCTCAGGAGTGGACTTAAGCCAGCCCTTCTGGAGAGCAGTTAACTTGCCTTTCTGGGCTCCCATTTGGCTCCCATCTCCATCCCTGCCCGGGTTGAAGGCAGGCAGGGACTGCAGCAGTTCACAGACACCAAGCAGGCTGAATGTCAAGTGCACTTTACTGGGCCCCTGGGCCTTCAAATGCGATCCTCCCCAAGCCTGGTCACCCCGTCCCCACACCTCCAGCTGCACAGGAAGCGGGCTAGGGGGAGGGAGGACATGTGAAACGGCTTGTTCTCTTGCTCCAAAGGGTCTTAGGTGATGCTCAGCTACAGCTGCTTGCCCCTCCCCTGCAGCCCCCATCCTGCCCCCAGCAGAGAGACCCTCCTTGGGCAGGGAAGTGGGGGTGTCTGGGCCTTCAGCACAGGAAACTGGCTTCACACCAGCAGCTGTTCTTGCTTAAAATGAGGCGG